TTTCCCCCTAAAACTAGCTAGCACAAAATTTTATGAACAAAGAATGTGGAAAATCTAATTCCCAATCTATGGGCAAATGGGAGTGTAGATAATAAGAGAAGTTTTGGATTTTCAGACAGTGGAGATAAAAGTGAAGATGGACTGTGAAGGGTGTGAGAGGAAAGTGCGAAGGTCTGTTGAGGGAATGAAAGGAGTTTCCTCTGTAACAATCGAGCCTAAACAGCACAAGCTGACCGTAGTAGGCTATGTAGATCCAGAGAAAGTTGTGTCTCGTGTAGCCCATCGCACAGGTAAGAAGGCAGAGATTTGGCCCTATGTCCCATACGATGTGGTTGCTCATCCTTATGCACAGGGTGTCTATGATAAGAAGGCTCCTGCTGGATACGTGCGAAGAGATGATTTCCAAACGAACCAACTTGCTCGTGCCAGTTCTACTGAAGTTCGCTATACTACTGCCTTTAGCGACGAGAATCCTGCAGCCTGTGTGGTCATGTGAACGATAATATTATGAATCTACTACTCTGTTATTGTTAAATTTGTATTGGTTTTCATTATCATGATTGTACGGACTGTATTGAGTATCCTGTTGTTGAAACTCGTTAAATTGGCTGTTTACGAGTAAGAAAACTGTACATGTCAAGTGATTTCTTTGTCATTGAACTTTTCTGTTTACAATTGTTAACAAAAGAAATTGTTGTGATTGACATTTCGATATAAAAAATAAATAAATTGAGTGGGCGGGCATGTATAACTATCTGATTTTTTTTCAGATTGTTGCTTTTTGTAAAGCATCAGTGCATGCCGAACTTTTTGTTTCTTTATAATTGTCTAGTGGAATTTACGTTGGAAAGTAATGATTGATGGACTATTTGGTAAAACTCTTTTGGAGTAATATGGAATTTCTAGCTAAAGAAATTCATATTTTTTAAGAAATTAAGAAAAAATAAAGGTGACTAATATGGATTTTTCTTAGCTAAAAAAAAAAGCATTTCCTTGTTGGGAGTGTATCTATTTTAATTGTTTCAAATATAATCTTGAATGTCTCTAGTTCCTTTAAGTCTGTTGAGGTGGAACACCTTTGATTCAACAAACTCAAATATAATCAATCTTGAACATATTTAAATCCTTAAGTTAGGTGAAGTAGAACATCTTTGATCGTAACTAATAGAATGTACTTAAAAATAAAAATAAAAAATAACAGAAATATAAGTTTCACTAGTTTTTTTTTAATTCCGTATATCTATAGCCAAACGGGCAACATATTTAAATCCTTTAGGTGAAGTAGAATATTTTTTATCGTAACTAATAGAATATACTTAAAAATAAAAATAAAAAATAAGAAAAATATAAATTTCACTAGTTTTTTTTTAAAATTTCGTATATCTATAGCCAAATGGGCCCTTGGTTTGTATGCACAAAAAATAAGTGAAAATCCAAAGAAGGACCTTGGATTGCCACAACAGGCCCAAGTATACGTAGTAGCAAGTAGTAACAACAGTACTTAACGATAACTTTCCAACCGCCTTTCGTAGACTCCATTTTCCATTTTTGGCGGGAAACAGAAAACCCTCATACTCCATTAACAATGGCTGAAGAAGAATTGGAGGCGGCGGGAGAAACCGAACAAGATGTAGAAGAGGAGTTCGCCGTTTGGAAGAAGAACACGCCGTTGCTCTACGATCTTGTCGTTTGTCATGCCCTTGAATGGCCTTCTCTCACCGTTCAATGGCTTCCGTCTCCAACCACCGACGACGGTGCTTTTGCTGTACACAAGCTCATTCTCGGAACTCACACCTCCGACGATTGCCCCAACTTCCTCATGGTCGCAAAGGTTCATCTCCCTCGGAATCCTGCTTCAGGACTTGAACACAATCTCATGAATCCTCAAATCCCTAAGGTCTGTAACTCCTTACAATCGGTTAAACTACACTAATATTTGAAAAAATTCCCTATCTGTTAAAATGCGCTAATAGTGTAAAAATTAGTTACATATTTCTATATTCGTGATGAGTGATCCATATGTGTACATATATGAACTGTTTGATAAAATATCCAAATGAAGAAAGTTCTTTGTTAATGAATCAATTTATGAATATGTGGTGCCTATCGGTGTTTCTATGAAGGAAGTTTAATCTGGAAGTATTTTTTTTCCTAGTGTTAAAACCTGTGAATAAATTGGTCAATTAAGTTTTTCTAGTGTACACAGGTAGAGATAGTACAAAAGATTCATGTTGACGGAGAAGTGAATAGAGCGAGATGTATGCCACAGAAGCCAGCTGTAGTTGCAGCTAAGACTAGTAGCTCTGAAGTTTATGTCTTTGACTCAGCTAAACAGCCCCTTGATCATGAAGGTGGGTCTTGTAACCCTGATGTTCGACTTCGTGGGCATGATAAAGAAGGTTATGGCTTGTCGTGGAGCCCGTTTAAAGAGGGTTTTCTTTTGAGTGGTTCAAATGATCAGAAGATTTGTTTGTGGGATATATCTGCATTGCCTCAAGATAAAGTTCTTATGGCTCATCATACTTATGAGGTAATGTGATCTGTCCTTTCACCCAATGTGCTGATTCAACTGAGTTTCTTTTGTTGATTCCGTAGTTGAATATCACTATGGCAGATATGAATTTAATTCTGGTATTTTTGTATAGGAGCATGAAGATGTAGTTGAGGATGTGTCATGGCATCCAAAGAATGAGAACCTATTTGGTTCTGTCGGAGATGATTGTCGTCTGATCATTTGGGACTTCCGGACAAACAAAGCCCAACACTCGGTTTTAGTGCATGAGAAAGAGGTCAGTGTCTTCAAATTCCATCTTGTTTAATATTTTACCACGCACTGTTTTATCTGTATCATTGAGATTAATCTCTACTATGCTTGTCTAATCGTTCAATGATATAACCCATAGATCATGCACTAGGCACCCAATATGGTATTAAAGAAAAACATATGAAACTATTGGATAGGACTGTTGAGATGTCATATGAGTCTTTGAATAATGGGACCTCCAACAATGGTTATCCTTCGTACATTGTACTGGTCTTATTTTTATCTGTTTGAGAGGTTAATCCTGTCACCTGTTTCACATGCATTAATGAAATGCGAATTCAGAAAGTTAATAGCATGTGCACCGGCTGAACAAACTTTTCTCAATAGTTATCCTGAGGCAGTCTTGCTGATCTTGTTTTTCTTCCTCTCTGCAGGTGAATTATTTATCTTTCAACTCATATACTGAATGGGTTCTTGCTACAGCATCGTCAGATAGTACTGTTGGTCTGTTCGACATGCGAAAGCTTAGCTCTCCATTGCACGTGTTTGGCAGTCATACGTATGTCCTTCAGCTTATTTCAAGTCTTCAAATTTGTTGTGGTCAATCTTTTACGTCACTCCATTATTTTATTGGCTTGGTGACTATCGAAATCACAGTTTACTGATGTTCGTCTCCAGTGATGATTGACTTGTCAATATTTGGATCCCTTAGTATGCTATACAGAGCTCCTTTTGAAACAAAAAACTTATGAAAACTAAAAGTATCTGTCAAATCTACTTATCGTGGTGCATTTCTTTCATCATTGTTGAATTATTTTGCCTGTGTATGCACACAGAAATTGGTCAAATCTGCTGTTGCTTTTGAGCCCTGCTTATGCTCTTACTCAGCCAATTCCTGGTTTTAGATGACATTGCTGTAGGAATTCTCATGCATTCTTCTAAATGTGACAACTCTTCTACCTTTTGTTTCTACCAATGATACGATTTTTGTCATTAAACCTTTTTGCAGGGATGAGGTGTTCCAGGTAGAATGGGATCCTAATCATGAGACTGTACTGGCATCTTCAGGTGGTGATAGAAGGTTGATGGTCTGGGATCTTAACAGGTACATCATGCATGAAATGAATTCCACAACACGAAAACGATGGTGGTGGATTATCAGTTATCACTTAAATTTAATACGAGATAATGGTGATACTAACCAAAGAAAGAGTTGTATGGTTTACCTTTTTTGTCTTACAACAAGATTGTTGTCTTCAGGATTGGTGACGAGCAATTGGAAGGGGAAGCTGAAGACGGACCGTCAGAACTTCTTTTCTCTCATGGCGGTCACAAAGCAAAGATATCTGATTTTTCATGGAACAAGAACGAGCCATGGGTCATTTCAAGTGTGGCAGAAGACAACTGTGTCCAAGTCTGGCAGATGGCTGAGAGCATCTACCGTGAGGACAATGACAATGGCAACTGCTGAGATGTTCAATTTTCTTGGCATTAATGGAGGCCGTTCTAATTGTATGCTGCAGATCTGAACTAGAAGAGTTTTATATACTCGTTTATGGCATCATCAACTTTATTAGGTGCAGAATCATCAAGTAGAAGAGTACCGTTAATTGCATTGTTAACTTATATACATTGAGAACTGAATCCATGTACAAGTGCAACTATACTATTAATCATGGTGGTTTGAACTTGCTGCCTGGCACAGATTTAGCTAAGTTGCTTCATCTACAAATAGGTATTATAAGAGATAAGTTTCAGATAGCATGCTGAACTCATCCAGCATTTAATACAATAACAATCACACTAATCTCAATAATCAATATAGTAAGCATCATGTTTATGGCAAGTGTCAACAATCCTACATGTCTTCTTGCTCCAAATATGATCCAATTATTGATGATTGAACCATCAAAGCCAAAAATAATTTAAACGCGCCCAACAATGTAAAACTCAGTTGAGACATGAAATTCAAATTTCACATAAGAAGGGGGAGACAGATTTTGTTCTCCCCTACCAACCACTCCATGACCAGCGGCCAGCGCCATCTTTGATTTTTAACCCAATGGCAAAAGAGGACCAAAACCAAACATAGAAAAGGAGAAAACCCACGAGGGCATATGAAATGCCACATATTTCACCAATCAGTGTTTCTACTTCATGAGATCTGTCGTACTTCCTGCAGCTCAAAACACCAACATATGGATGGTGCCACAAGTAAATACAAAGGAACAGAAACTGAGAAACCAAGCAAATGTACTTCAATAATTTGTCTAGTGTTTCAATTTTCCACTCTTTATAGCAGAGAATCACGAGCATAAAAAGACCATCATCTATTTCAAATTCACATAAACTAAGAACGATAACCATCAATTTAGACATCCATCGGCAAGAGGCGACATTCATCAAAGATCAAAGAATGAATAAATACAACAGTGAGGAATAAAGCTTCCAGATCTTCAAAGAAAACCACAACCCTTGGCATCCCCTTGGTATCCTCTTCATGAGTTCTGCTAGCTATATCCATTCGGTTGTTTCTGCTTTACATGACTGTTGATAAACAACAGACACTCAAACACCTACAAGACCACCAACTCAACAGCCAGAAGAAGATTCTCAAGTCGAACTCAGCAAAGTAGAGAAATCTTCACGGTAGAGAGCACATAACAAAACATACTTATTCTCAAGAATAATGATGCTCTCCTAAGATGTTCATCAACTTGTTGTACGCGCGCCTCCTGAAAAAGCAAAGCAAAGATTAAAGGAGCACAGCCAGGAGGATTAAACACAAAACTAAGTTGCCATTCTACACTGGTACATCAATGCGTTAATCACTCAGCTCAATGAAAGAAAAGTTAAACTTGAAGCTACTGGTTGTTTTGCACCACCAACTCAAATAAAACACATCATAACACACATTCATTAATTAATAATATAAATGTCATCAACCAATGCCATAGCATACAAGCGCTTGGAAACAGTTATTTTGACAGACATTGCAAATATATGGATCTTTCTTTTGCTGAGAAGAAAAACATTTTTTCCTAAACAAATCTTAAGGACAAAAGTTCTAGCAAAGATACCAGAAGCCACCCAAGATCTCTGACACTCCTTTCGATCAAGAAGATTGCACTAACTCTTTCAGTTCATCAATTTCAAAGTGAAATCAACATAGAGATTCCTTTTTGGCATTAATGGAATTAACAAAGTTTACAAGCTACATAAAAGGGGTACAAGAGGTTGCAAAACTTTACCATTTAAATTCTTCTTGTCATCATAATTTTAGAATTTCAGTCAAAAGATAATTATGTGTGGATACTAATCAAGCTGAGCAAGTTATTTTTTCTCATTTTGTAATGAGGTATGCCTCAAGTTTTATTCACACGACATCAATTATATGCTCTATTTAAAGCAAAATATCAGACACCTAACAATTGTTTTTACCTACTCAATAACTCAAGGGACTGGAAAGAATCAATATATATTATTCCAAATCGTCTTAAATCCAACTTACACCAAAAACTAAAAGATTTATACAGTTCTCCCAAGGATTTGCTGGTATAGTTTATAAGCATCTTCGATTCTATTCTTTCCAAATGCACCAGATTCTGCACCACAGAAATGTGATCCAGGCTTTCTTGAATATTTTCCTTGTTTTCACTCCATATTAGCAGGTAGTATCACAACTAGTTTTTCTTTGCATCATATATTTAGTTACAAACAGGTACAAGGGACTTAAGGACGACCCTGAACGCTTAGATAATATTGGATCTTCGGGAAATGGTAGCAGAATCTGCCTCATTCCAACTTAAATACCAATAATTTAATGTTCGGGTGTACTTGAACATCATAATTATCAATAAAAAAAAAAGGTTTTACATGTAGTTGATCTTAGTTCAAATGTACTTATAAATTGTTTTATAATAAATACTATATTATGCCAATTTTTTATGAAATATTTGTCAGAACTAGACCGAAATTTGATGCTTGGACACTTGTTACTCAGAACCCCTTCAGCCTTTTCTTTGCTGTTACTTGTTCAGAAATCGAGGGAGTACTATTCAGCATGTCAATGTCTATTGTCTTTATTTATTTGGGAACCAAATCAAGTACCATTACCATAAAATCCCCTATATATACAAATACAATATAACATGTTATATATACACACGCCAACATCTAATGTTATAATCAAAGTCCAGAAGATTAAGGCTTACTACTCTAAGAATTTCCAGGTTAAATTCAAGGGAAGAAAAGAGGGGAAGGCTAACTACAGAGACAGAATAGCCTCATAATTCGAGACAAAACAAGTACAACCTCCAAAATATCGTTTAAGTTTTCTGATTTACTAACAAAGTTTGGGTTTAGTCCCAACCTGCTGTAAGTGTAAGACAACGAAGATAGATTTTACAGTCAAGAGTGATTTGCTTAAAGGAGAGTAGAATCAAAATTACAATCGCATTTCTACTGGACAAATAAGTAGTTTTGGATTACAATGATTGTGTTTCTGTTTCGAGTGGGAGGAGGGGTTTTGGCTAATATTGGAAAAATTAAAACGGCATTCCTAATGATGTCTTGTTACAATTGCTATTGCTTAATGCATTTGGTTATTGGTGATGGTGGAGTTCTCGAGGAAGATGGTGATAGCTTTGGTGTTGGTTGAAGATGGTTTCCGGGGAGGTGTAAATTGGAGGGTATTTGTGGCAGGTCGACAAGGGGAAACATGACTTACGTCCTCTATGCATCGCTCTGTTATGTGTATAGTTAATGGTGACCGAGGATGTAGGGAAGGAGGAAGAAGATGGTGTTATAAGAGAGGAAATGTTGGTATTTTTTTATCACGTCAACATAATATAACTTATTCACGTGCTCAAAAAAAGTGAAAATCACTATTTACCATGCCAGTTGAGGTACAATTTTTTTATGTATTCACACTTCTCTTCCATATATATACACAAGACTTTTTTAAATATACATGCATTCCCTCCATCCATTTTATATGACGATATTTGACCAAATAAGAGGTTCAAGAAGTTGATTTGACTAATGAATTATATTAGTTAATAGAAGAACAACAATATACCTAGTGTAATCCCATGCAACAAGTGGGGTCTGGGGAGGGTAGGGGTATGCAAATCTTACCCCTATCTTGGAAGGTAGAGTGGTTGTTTCCAATAGACCCTTGCCTCAAGAAAAATCAGATCAAAGCAGTTTGGCAAAAGAAAAATGGAAGTGAAGAAACCATAATAAAATACTAACGATAGCATGAGGAAGAATATGGAGCAGTTAATAGTTACTGTTTAAAAATATATCAAAGTGGTGGTTCGACTAGATGAGTAGCTAACTGTACACAAATGAAGATACCCTTTTGTGAAAGTAAAGAAACCAAGTCCTAGTCTTAAATGGATACTGCACTCATGTTACTAAAGGACAATGCTTAGTTAAGTTAAGTTGTAAAATAGTTAACATGGTACAATTTTCAGATAATATCAACTTTAAGAGAAAATGCAAATCTTCAGCTTAAAAAAAAAGAAGAAGAGAAAATGCACTTCAATTCACCTTTTCTCTTGCTTCGACCAGAAGTGTTGTCAGTAGGTGTGCTATTACCCACAACACATCCAGGAACCTCCTCCAGTCCAGAGGTTTGATTACCCAAGCATTGGAGAGTCTCAAATTCACAGTTGTTGAAGCCTTGTCCATTTAATACAGTGCCGTCTGAGTTTTTACCTTCTGCGCCTGGGTGGAGGCAATAAACCTGATCATCACATTGTAGGTTGCAAGAGTTCACCACATATGCACCAGGAAAGTTAGGATTAACTATGTGCTGATATGTATTGCCACTCTTCATGGGCTTCTGATATGGAAATGATCCAATTTCCCCTTCAATCCTTCCACGTATATCCACAAGCAAACACTTGAGCCTAGCAACCTCCGCTTCCAATACAGCCTGACCCTGCAGCCTCTTCAAGAGTTGCTGGTTTATAGCCCTCAATCTGACAACTTCATCCTCTAATGAAGCAGCCCGAGCCTTCTTTTTCTCACGATACTTGCGAACAGCTTCCTTATTACCCACCGGGCGTTTCTTTCCTTTATTCTCTGCAGACTCTGCAGTATCATCACTGGGGTTCTTATCGTCATCTGTTGTAGGAACTATTTTGGTGTGAACATGGTAACAAGTGTGAGTATGAGAGTTATCAGGACCAGGCGGGTTACAAGTGTGGGCATGAGTACAGGCATGCGCATCCTTGAGAATCTCATTGAAAAAACTGTCCATTGAACTACTAAATTCACCAAAATTCGAACTTGACAACATTTCTTGGGTAGAAATGTCCAGCTCCCCGTCAGCCATAATTGAAACCTCAATAGTAACCAATATGTCAAACTCTGCAGTAAAACACCAGCAATTCAGCAACCTTCAAGATAAAAACCTAACTACTAGTCCAGTCAAAAACAGAGCAAGCCCTCAAGAAAGGAAATTCAAGACATAAAGTTTTCAACTTGAACATAAAAGGTACGATATTTATAATTTCCGAGAAAACCCCAAATCTTGAAATTGAAATTCTGACATAAAATTTCAATCTGGGTCAAATTCAAACAACTTAGAAGAAACAAGCCACCAAATCACAACAAAGCTAGGCGATGGATTCCGATTCATCGAAATCAATAACAAAACAGTGAAATTGAATCGAAAAAAGAAAGCACTTACAGTGAAGCAGAGTCTGAGGCGTGAAAAAGGAGAGAAAAATGGGGTGCGAGGAAAAGTGAAGGAACCCTAGAAAAGGCTAAAAAGGGGTGTTAAGATGTCAAATAGTTTTAATGGCGGAAAAAGAATGGAGGAAAACAAAGGGGCCACAGGTCAAGATTCCAACACATACACATGCGCGCACACACGCAACAAACGACTGCAAATTGAGCTCGTCTTTTCCCGTTTCTGCAAATCTCAATTTGTTATTTATACCTATTTGAGGGGCCGATCCTAATTATTTTTTTATACGGACTCAATTAGCGGTGCACAATCAACTACTTTCTGTTTCACATTTGATTGATTCGTATTTACTAGGGGCTTAATTAAAATATAATTTTTATTAAGAATTTTTTTGTCCTATGGTATAAAATTTGAGGTCTCTAGTCGAAGAAAAAGTATTCGCCACATTATAATCAATTAATTTCTTTTCGAAATTGGTACTTTTCTATTTTTTACTTTTTTTCATATTTTAAAAAAATATAACAAATTTTCTTTTTTTTAATGATTTTTTTCCATTTCAATATACTTGAAAAGTATTTTTAAGTGAAATAATTGTTTTTGCGAACCTCTTCTTTTATGCACATTCCTTTTTTCTATTATTTGAAATTGTATAGCTACAAATTGGCCTTACTTTTAAATTTTTTGCTAAATTTTTTTAACAAAGTTATCTAATTATCTATATATAAGCTGACATCAATAATCTAATTATATAAAAATTATTGTCCATCAAAGTTTAGATTTTAATGTTTCTATTTTCTTAATTTTATAAATATAATATATGACAAATGTTTCATCTTACACATGTTCATCCCAATAAGTTATTTGTCAGCCTTGCTTAGATTTATACTAAAATTAAACAAATATTAATGTGCTAGTTGAAAAACGTGCCAGTTCTTTAATTTTTATTTATTTTTGACAAAATCAAATGAGCTCCATTTAAATCTGTTTTTTGGGGTAATCAATTGACGACAAGAATATAATCAAATTATTGTGAATAGACGTTGACATTCAGGTAATATAGCCCATTCCCTAATTCCACTTGTTTTCTGGGCCCCATTATATAACTGTTGACTAGAAAGTAGAAACTTCAAAAATCAACTTTAGTATTAAATTTTCAATAAAATGAAGTAAATTACTGAGTTAAAAATAATACTTAATAGCAATAGTAAGATTGAAATAGAGCAATATTGACTGCACAAAACTAGTTGAGACTGAAATTAAATGAAAATGCACATTAATCCATAAATTGGTAAAGAATATATGTGTCTAGCTACAATGTTTACAACTTATTTTTTTTTTTTAAAACACTTAGTACTAGAAGCTAAATACACAACATTAAAATGATCATTAACAGTAATTAATTTTTAATTATTATTAAATGTGTATTTTTAGCGTTAATAAGCATTTTTATATATGTTCCTAAAACATTTAGCGACATTGGTTCTAATGACACTTAACTAATACCGATAAAAACTTCAACACTCTGTTAATGTCAATATTCAATGTCGCTAAAAATTTATTTCAAAAAAATAATATTGTCAACAAAAGACCAATCTTTAATATAAATTCACGAGAAAACACCAAATTATAAGTAGAGGAGGCAATACTTTTCCTTTACTGCAACAACTATTTTGCCATAAGGTCAAATTTATTTAAAGAGTATTATAGTTGGATTCTAACTAGGGCAAGTTTCCCCATACTTGTGTTGAATTACCTATTAGAGTTTTAAAATTATTATTTTTTCCATAAAATATTAAATTTTAACTACTTATTATGTAGGTGAAAATGTGGCATAGATATCGAATAATTTTAAAATTAAGTATATAGTTTCTTCCTATACGAAGTTAGATTTTTAGCAAAGGAAAATTTTCTAATATGAAAAAAAATAGGGAAAATGTACAAGTACCCCCTCAACCTATGCCCGAAATTCCAGAGATACACTTATACTATACTAAGGTCCTATTACCCCATGAACTTATTTTATAAGCAATTTTCTACCCCTTTTTAGCCTATGTGGCACTAGTTTGAAAAAAAAAAATCAACCATCGTTGGGCCCACAAGATAGTGCCACGTAGGCTAAAAAGGGGTAAAAAATTATTAATAAAACGGACAAGGGCCTAAAATACCCTTAAAGTATTGAAAATGGTACAAAATTACCCTTCATCCACCTATTGGCTCCAAAATGCCCTCTTCATCCACCTATTGGCTCCAAAATACCCTTGTCATCCATCTTTGGGTTCAAAATTGACCATTTTTAATTGTTTTAAGCTTAAACTCTTTAAATATTTTTTTTATATACTGGGCGTTCAACTATTAAATATAATTTTAATTTATTAATATAATTTATAAACCAATCCACTACCCACTCATTACAAACTAAACCTCACTCAATTAATAATTCAATTATAATATCAAAATTGTCATAAACACTACTAAAACACGATGAAATTATAGATTACTGAAAATGACATTCAAAATTATTCGAATCCGAATCGAAGCCCCAATGAAATTTAGGTTGAGCCACTTATTTAGGAGGACACTTTCTTTCAAAATTGAATTAGAAAATTATGATTAAAGGTAAAGAAATAATACATCCCGATTTAATTAATGCACTTATTTTAAATATAATTTTATAAATATTTATGATTTATTTTAAAACCTTTAATATATTATTTTGAAAAAAAGTTACCTATGAGGTAACATCACATAATTAAGACGTAAGAATAATTAAGATGAACATAGTCAGACTTTTAAGTTTATCGGTGATTTTTATGTAGCCACTTGAATGTATGATAATTTTCTTCTATATTTTTTAAAAACACTCAATTGGTAGTAGCTTGCATTAATAATTTGACGGGTTCATTAATTTAGAGGGATTTAATTAGTAATGGATGGGTAGTGAATTGATTTATAAATTACACTAATAAGTTAAATTATAACAAATAGTTGAGCGCCACGTATTTTAAAAATATTTAAATATAAAATCGTTAAATAAGTAGTCATTTTTGAATCAAAAGGTGGATGACAAGGGTATTTTGGACCCAATAGGTGGGTGGGAAGGGCATTTTGGAGCCAATAGGTGGATGAAGGGTAATTTTGTACCATTTTCAATACTTTAAGGGTATTTTAGGCCCTTTTCCGTTAATAAAATAAGTTCAGGGGGTAATAGGACCTTAGTATAGTATAAGTGTGTCTCTGAGATTTTAGGCATAGGCTGAGGGGTATTTGGGCATTATCCCAAGAAAATAATATAGTATAGTAACTTTGGTTTCTTTACCTAAACATAAAGTTCACTTTTTTTAAGTGATTGGAAAGAAATTAAGTAGTATAGTAACTTTGGTTTCTTATCCTAAATAAAAAGTTCACTTTTTTAATAAGTGAAAGAATAGAATCAACCTTGGATTCTTTGAGAATTTAATATCAAATCTCCTAATACTAATTAATTATCCTCTGATACCTTGCGTAAAACTTGAATTTGATAATATAATTTCATATCACATGTTCAAATAAAACTTTAATTTAATCTCTTATTTTCATATCATGATTTCATATTGTAATAGCCAAACGGACGTTAGTACGTTGATATTGCCATAAGACAAAGAGCTACTTCTAGCATAGTGTTGTAAATATTTGAGTTGGATTCTCACTTGGGCTTCAGTTAGGGCAAGCTTTCAATTTTTTTTTTTGGACTAACTTAATAGAGTTTGTAGGCTAGTTAGAATTGTTTCCACAAGAAATTTAATAGGAGTAAGTTTTACTTTTAAGTAACGTTATATGGATCATAAAGCTATATAGAATTGGGTCTCACTTACAGCTTTACTTAGATTTTAGGGGTCTTTTTCCCTATTAAGAGAAATTACACTACAAAGAAATTAGATTTGTCGGATCATCTTCTAATAATTGGAAGTTACATGTTATGTTGTAATAATGATCGTCTTTTAGTTGTTACTTAAAATTTTGTTCTATGTTATTGCTGTCTTCTAATAATTCAAAGTTACTTGTTATGTTGTAATAATGATTGTCTCTTAATTTTTTTTTGTATGTCATTACAATTTTTCTCTTCTTAATTTGTTTTTGTTTTATTATCTACTTGTAGACATACAAATCTTAATGGATTTAATTCATACAAAATTTGGATTAAATTCATGTTTATTTGGGTTGAATGATTAATTTGGACTTTACAAATAAATAAGTCCATTTTTAATTAAATTCAAGTCCAAGGTCCATTTCAGCTTGAAGTTCAAACTCATGCCACGTGTCATAGTGACTAGACATCTAAGATCAACGAGGTGACGCCACGTGTCCAAATGAGGTGGCAGTCTCAATCAAATGCAAGAACGAATCACAATGCGCCAGGTGTCAAAACCGACATCCTTTGGCCAATCACAACCAACCTTGTCCATCCCTTACAACTATAAATAGGGGATGAACATGACATTCAAAAAAGGAAGACTTCAACAAGCATTCTGCAATTGGAGAAAGCTACAACATCAACGACATAGCTCTTCGAAGGAGTAATCAACGGAATTCTTCCCGGAGATCAACTTGGAAAAACAAAGCGCTTCCCGACGTTCTCGGAGATCAAATACGTCTCAAGGAGGTCTACATCATCCTACATTCGAAAAATACGCTATGGAAGGCCCTCGAATTACGGAAAAACTTAGGAGAGAAGAAACAAGAGAACAACAGAATTGTACTCACATGATTCATCAATAAAATTACATTTTTCTTTTATTTATTTTGCTTGCAGTTAATTTTCAGCGACTATAAAAATTTGTTGCGAACATTACTAATCTTATTTTATCTTCTATTTACCTCTCTATAATCGCTCTACCTCATGACTATGTTACGATGAAAAACAATAAAATATTATATTTATTAAAACAATACAATATAACATAACATAATACAACACAACACGCACTATATTATAATACAATACATTATAAAATGCCACGTAATCTGATTAACTTGTGAAAGTTTAAAAAATCTCCTCCAGCAAAGTTAAACTATCTCAAAAAGCAAAAGAATAAAATACCAAACAACTTTATTACAAACACAATATTTTCTCACACTCAAATTTCAAATCTGATCCACAGAATTGCAAAATCTCTGTGGGGTTGACAAACTTTGTGCTATTATCACAAAGTTTTCTGGTACCTTCTACATCTAATCACCTCAACAATGGGTGCTT